AGCCTGTCCTCTCGTGGGCTTCCCCTTCTGGGGAAGAGAGGGGAGTGATGACGCCGGGACAGGAAGAGGGGACGCCCGCGGGGTGCTTAGCCGGTGCCACGCACTTGCCAGGGTCCTGCTCCTTCAAGGCGCAGATGCCCTGTAGGTGCTGCCATCAGCTCCAGGAGGGAGCTAAGGCGCAGAGAGGCAGCAACTCGCCCCGTGTCACAGAGCTGCTAGGCAGTGGAGCTGGGGCGTGTCCGCTGCAGGGTGCATGCCCGCTACCGCAGTGCTCCGCTGCATCCCCCTCGGAGGGATCGGGACGTGAGGGGAAGCGGGGCGGCGGGGGAGGCGGAGTGACAGGGCGGGCGGAAGGGAGGGTCCTGGGGGGAAGCGAGCCCTGAGGTCAGAGCGGGAGTCCTGCGTGGAGGCCCTGAGGCGGGAGTGCATCTGCGTGGCTGGGCCGGAAGGGTGGAAGCATGTGCAGCCACGTCGGGGCGACCCAGGAAGATGCACCGAGGGAGGCAGCGCCCGGCCAGGGGCAGCCGGCCGGAGAGAGACGGAGGCCCGCGAGCAGGGCGGTCGGTCGGCTCACGGCGGCCGAGCTGATGATAAACCCGTGAGGAGGCGCTTGGGATTATCTGCTGGTGTTTTTTGAGTGCTGTGGAATTTGAGAGGGAAAGAGAAGGAAGGGAGGATTCTAAGATTTTTTTGGCCTGAAGAACTGAAAGGATAGAGCTGCCGTTTATCATGAAGGGGAGGACCAGGGTTCGAAGGGGAGAGGAGTTTCGGGGGAAACCTAAGGCGCTGGGTTTGGACACATGCTAATGTAAGGTGCCTGAGGAGATATCCTAGTGGTGACAGCAATGGGGAGCTGGAGACAGTCTGGGGTTCCAGGGCGAGATCTACTGGAGGCAGAGATGTGAGTGTATAGAGCATGCGTGAGGTAACTACAGCCACCGAGAGATGGTTAATAAACATTCTTCCAACAGACCCAGGGTAGAGTGTCCAATCTTTGGTTTCTTGGGGGAGGAGCCTTCCAGTGGATATAGTAGCTCTGTTCTTCATTTCCTTAATAGGACAAATATTCAGGTTAAAAAGTCAAATTTTCTGCAGGTTACAAACAGTCAATTAGCATAAAGATATCAGCCTCATGAATACTTATCTAATGATTTTTAGCATAGAAAATTAGTTTTAGTCCATAATGATGAGGAAGTCATATTTTGCTTTATGATCTCTTTTCTGAATTTAATTTTTTTTAATATGTAAAAGCCCAAAATCAGGAAATCTCTAAGTGACGGAAGAACTTCCAAAGTGAATTTTAAATCTGCAGGAAAAGGGCTGACCTTCCTTTTATCTCAAAATGGTGAGTATTTTGATTCTAGAGCTTTGGTACTAGCGTGGTTGCTTATAAATGACATCACGGTTATAAAAAGGTACAGCCATGTCATCACCACGGGGCGCACACACAGGGAGCTGGCCTCGGGGTGGCGGTAGGTGTGGGTGAGACGCCTGCAGCACCGGGGGCGCCTGTGGGCCACCTGCTGCCCGCGACTCGCTCTCTCCACGGATTTGCCTTTTCTGGACACCTCGTTTAAACGGAATCGTACGTCTGTTAGGCCTGCCTCCTTCACTCACAGTTGTCTGGGGATCCATTCACGTGGTAGCGCGTGTTAGTGTTCTGTTCCTTTGTATGTCTGAGCATCAATAGTCCATCGTGTGGCTCTGCCACATTTCTGTCTGCTCGTCAGCTGACGGACACTCGGCTGGCTTCCAGTCTGGGCTGTCATAAAGAATGCCGCTGTGAGCACTGGTGTGCCCGTCTTTGTGGCTGTGTTTTCGTGTCTGTTTGCCCGTGTAAACTCTGGCACTGGCATCAAGGCTCTCCCCATGTCGTCCACTCCGGGCCCTTCACAGCAGCTCCTGGGGTGGAGGCTGGTCTGGTCACAGAGCCCCGCGTTTCCACAGGACCTGTGCCCACCCTCCTCTCCCATCCCCGCCGTCAAAGAGCACAGGAGCCCAAGCTATAGACACAGTCAAAAACCAAATGCTGTCCTGACAGATCCCCAGTCTTACTGATACTACAGAACGATCCAAAGCATTATCCTCCTGGAATCAACTATTTTAAACACATTCCAGAGTGGGTGTCTGCTGCCTTAGTAGACGTGACGCTATATTCCTTACCAAGTCAGTAATTTTACCTACCTTCTTACTCAATTCGGAGTTAAAGTCCTTTAAAGTTTTTTTTTCTTAAAACTTAAAACCAAGAGGTTTTTTTTTCCTTTCTCTGAAAACATGGGAATATTGTAAGTTTTCTAAGATTTTCATTTTAGAAAACCAAAATAGTTAAGCCATTTTAGAAAAAAATATAGGTACCCAGAGACCTGAAGGAATTGTTGACCATCAGAGCTGTGGTCAGCTGATGCCAGCCTTGTTCTGGGGGGTCCCGGAAGCACTTTGCAGTTCCCTTAATGCCCACAAGCCCACGAGGAGCATGGCATCACCCTTATGGGGGGACGAGGACACTCAGCCCACCACAGGTCATGACAGAACGGGGAACAGGGAGGCACACTCCAACGTTACTGCAAGACTGTATCAATGCTCATTTCAGTCAGCCTTTCTTACAGGGAAAAAAGAAAAATCCAAGGATGAACAGAAGGAAAAATTCAACACATGGATCAGTAATATGTACGTCTTTTTTGTGAACACTCTCTTCCAAGCACATAAACATGAAGAAACCGTCAAGGAGAAAGTAAAGGAAAACAGGCTGTATAACGAAGCAATGGCCCTTCAGAAGAAGATGGAAAACGAGGAGCTGGAAGCAAGGTAACTTGGTAAAAACTGCTTGACTGCCTCCCTCCCTCCCTCCCGGGTTCTTGGTCATCTTCCTTCCTGTCCTCTGTGGCCACCCCGAGCTTCAGGACCACTTTCATTAAAAGGCTATGATGTCAGGGACCTTCCTGGCGGTCTAGTGGCTAAGACTTCTTGCTCCCAACGCAGGGGGCCTGGGTTCGATCCTTGGTCATGGAACTCGATCCCACGTGCCACAACAAGGACCTGGTGCAACCAAATAAATTAAACACACACACACACACACACACGAGTCTACAACTTCCAAAGAGCGGCATGCCCTCGTGTGGGGCTGGGAACCCGTGGCTGCCTGTTCTGTCCTGGCTAAGGTGGCGATGATGCCCTTGTCCCCAGGCATCCACAGGGACAGAGCGTGACGTAGATCCAGACCGCCCCGGTTCAAATCCCAGCCCCTCCACTTATTACAGCTGGGTGACCTTGGGCAAGGTCTGTCCCCGTGTGCCCATTTCTGCCCCTGTGGAGGTGGAGGTGGCCCCCTGTAAGGCTGCTGTGAGGATTGAGGGAGCACGTGTTTCTGAAACATTGAGAACAGTGACTGGGGTGCGGTGAGCGTGCAGTCATGGCCACACTGTCCAAGCTCAGCTCCACACCCAGGTCAGTCTCGAGTGTGGATGCCCGTCCTCTGTGAAGGGCATCACGAGCCCGCTGGCCTGTGGAGGACAGCGTTAGACTTAAGAACGAACAGCCACACACCGCAGGACTTTAAAAAGGCTGCTTACTAGCTAAGCTGCTCCAGAGACAAGTACTTCACAAGTCACCTAAGATGTGTGCAAAGTCTGAACTGATGAGATGTCGATGGCGTGACTTTCTATTTCAGGCAAAGTGATGACACACACCGCTGAGATCCAGGTATGGACTACTTTACACCACACGACAGCATAACACTGGTTTTGAAATTTCAAAGAAAAAAAGATACTTTCTTGTGTTTGCTTCTTGTTAGGCTAAACAGCTTGAGAGAGGAAGAGGTCAAAAGACAAGACTATGAGGTGGACATCACCGTGATCAAGGAACCGGTGGACGCCCCCTCCTCGAATTTCACACCGAGCCCCCCAAAAGAGGACACAGTGGTGCCCAGCAAGTCCACGACAAGCAAGAAAAAGAAAAAGTAGACGTCAGTGTCTTTGTGAACGAGCCACAGAACAGGCAGGTGTGAAAGGAGGACACCTTGTCTGAGTGTTTCTTGAGAAACTGGGGTTTGGGCCCGCTGGGCTGAGGGTTTCTTACGTGGCTGGGTCACCGGAAGGCCTGTTTTAACAGCTGAGCTGAATGAAAATACACACATGGGGTATTGAATGAGCGTGTATTCATTATGGTTTTTTTTTTTTTTAAATATATAGCACTGGTGATTAAAGTTAGAATCTGATAAAACCTACTAGAAGCAGTGGGGAGCAGATGAAGCCCTTCCCACGTTTCTTCAGCCACCCTCTCCCGAGCCCGGCACACCTCCTCTGCCCTGGTCCTTCTCCACCTCTTCCCACAGCATAGCAACGCTGTGCGGACAGGAGGCTGAACCACAAGGATGAAGAGCCAGCTGCATAGTCGGGAGGTTAACCGAAGACCTGAGGTCTCTGTTAAGGAAAGTGTTACAGCTAGTGGTCCTGTTAAATTTAAGAGGAACCACCCAAAGCATAAGAATACACCTAAAGCTTCCAAACTAGCAAAAAGGAAGGAACAATCATCCGACGTAAGGTTGGGAAAAAGGGGAAAAAAAATAATGGAAACAGAAAATGCTGAATGTGGTGGGAAAGTCCAGCTCTACCTGTCGTCCCCCAAGCAAACGGGTTGACTCACCTCTTCCTCCCCTTCAAAGTTCCCTGGTCTAGAAACCAGCAACCAGAGACTCAAGGCAAGACCAGCATTTTTACAAACTTTTTAACAATTTATTAGTCTTATTTTCCAGTAAAATATTCACATAATGTCAAAAGAATGGAATGACAGAGATGTAGCCAACTACCTTTAATTCCACATAAATATTTAAAATCTAAAAACCTCAGGAATCATCAGACTAAGTAGAAATTTGACTCTTCAGAGCAAGTATTGCTTTACTATTGTCATTAACCCAGTCAATAATATGACCGATAACCAGCCGTGGGAAACAGCATGCCTGCCGAGTTGTTCTTTTAAAGATGTTTCACAGAGCCCTTGTCAAGTCAGTCCAAGAAGAATATGTTATTGAATTGCGTTGCACAAAGCTTCTTGACCTCTTCTGCAAAAAGAACAGAAAACAGGGACAGAAATTCTCACTGAAGAGGTTATAGGATATGTATCAGTACCTTATTCTGATAATTCTCTGGGAATAAAGTTGGACATAAATAAAGGTCTTCATCGAATTTGACCTTAAATCTTAGAAGCCTTAATATGTTCGTAAATTGAGAGAAATATAAAAAGGCCTGACACACAGGAGACTTAACACTATTTAACATCTCTTCTTTAGGCCTGAGAGAGCTCAAACCCAAAGTGCTTGAGACATCCACGAGTTGGGGGTTTGCAGTAACAACTTCTCAAATCTTGAGGAATCTGACACAAGCACACAGAAACTCCAGCGGCAGCCCTGAATTGAGGACCAGGAGCTCCACAGTGGCATCATTCTTTGGACGTTAAACTCAATTCCCATTTTCAATGAGGCGTGTGTTAACGGCTGTCATTCCTAATGCATCAACTATTAATCCTAACCACTAGGCCACCAGGGATCTCCCAAAACGCACATTTTTACACATGGTGTATAAAGCCATGGGATTTTTTTTTTTTCTTCAGCATTAGAGAAAATAATTTTCTTCTGGCCTGTATCAAGTTTCCCAAGAAACAGGCAAGTTTTTCACATACTGTTTCAAGGAACGAAGTTATTGAAAAAGAGATCAAGTGATGGTTTCCTTTCAGCAACAGGGACCTCTGCTTAAGAATCTTAACAGTCATGTTTGCTCTATGTACATGCTCCACAGTACACTGAAAAGACAGTTTGTGAAGTATCAGTAGCATTAAAATTCTGCTCAAACACCAAACCCTATTTACCATTGACTTCAATCAGGTTTGCATTTTTTTGATTCAAAATAACATACAGCTCCCTCTGGTCAGACTTCTTCCCAACAACCCAGTAATCACTCATGGCTTTCACGATGATTTCTTCATCCTCGTCCACTCTGTAAGACAGGAGTTTCAAGACGCAGTTGTTTATTTTATATGTACAGCTTGACTGTGACAAACATTCTGAAGTAAGAAATAGGAAACCTGAGTGACCTGAAAAGGCCAGGGAGTCCCTTGTGAGTGGCCAGCCACTCCTGGGCTTGATGGCATTCGCCCAAGGCAGCGGTCAGGCCCTCTGAAGGGGCCTGGGACCGTCTGGTTTTGGAGCTGACGCTCATGAGAGAGTAGGCACCTAACTGGAGAGGTGGTGAGAATTACCTTGAGAAATCACTATTGATGTCACCCAGAATCTTCATGAGATCCGGATGGACAGATGTGAGTGACACGCTGGGTGTCTTCCTCATGTGAATTGTACTTTTTTCTGCTAAATTCATGTGGTTGAAGTAGATAAACTTAAACTGGGGTTCTTTTTCAGACCTGTGAATACATGTTATTCAGATGGTAACATTCTGAAAAAACAATTACACAGAAAAGATAATTTCTGAAATATCATAGCATTATCCCAACTATACAGCCACAGTGTCAAAACCCTGCGTGTATAATGGCTGAGGTGGTGTTTTCAACGGCTAGGCCTTCAGTCAAGAACCTCAGTTAAGACAGAACATTCGGCAGTAACTTCTTGGATGTCTGTGAGGTATTCGACATGACTGAATTTCCCAGTGAGCTCAAGTATGCATTTTAAAAACCAAAAATATGTTAACTGTGATGATTTTCTTTCCAGTACAGTGTTTATAAATGAGTGGTCACTCAGTTATTTGCCGACTGAAGAAAAGCCCCTGCTGACTCACGTCACAGCCAACTTCACCGCGAACACTTCTGCACAAGAGGCTGAGTGTGTTCTGTTTGTGCAAAGCGAACCCTGCTGATTACCACCGCCAGCATGGTCGTCACAGCCTGGGCGGGTCACGTGGGGAGAGGTGCACAAGGCCAAGACCACGGGTGAAGCTGGCACGCCTGACCCCGCACGCTCACCCCGCTGTCGCGGAGGGCAGGGGGGATGTGTTAACACCATCGTGGGGCAGAACAACCCAGGAGCAGCTCCCCAGGAAGCGCTTCAGACAGGGCTGAACAGCATGTGTGCCGTCTGGATTCAGAAAACACCATCCACGTTCTAAGTAAAAACCCCTGATTCACCCAGAGCCAGTTAAATGCTTGAGAGCAACCAGGAAGCAGAGTACAAACCCAGATATTCTCTTGTTGATGTTAAATTGCTCACAGATGTCAGATGCCAGCACTGTGAGCTGGGGCCCCACAACGCTGTCCAGTCTTCGGCAGAAATCCAGTGTGGGCTGAATGGAGGCTACGAGTAATTCAAGAAATAGCAGTGTCAGGGGGCCAAGGGTTAAAGAGCTCAATTTTCACTTCACTGTCTGAACAACAATATGCCAACTACTGATCTGGGAAATAAAACAATGAAATGATCAGAGCCCTCTCCCCTCCGAAACAGAAGAGACACAGAGGGTTCAGAATTAGTTATATTTAAGATGAAACAGAGGCAAAGACTCATCGCACTGTAAATGTGGACTGAAGCATGCCCTGCGGGGTTGTAAACTGACTGGCTAGCCTCAGTAAAAGGAAGGTCAAATACTTATTTAACACACTACAATAGCACTCATGGGCCCGGTACCGTTGGTCCATGCTAATGTTACCTCTTTTAATTCTAAAGCTCCTCTGAGATGGGTGCTCCCTGTGATCGCTTCATGGGCAAGAAGGCACAGAAGCAGCAAGCTGGGACTTTTAACGATATTAGACGAGATCGGGCATGTTCAGGGTGCTATGGCCGTAGACAACTTTAATGATGTTAGAAACAGCTAGTGATGAGGGCAGAGGCTCCCGACGGACAACAGGTCTTAATTCGGCCTCTGTGTTGCCACGACAACATATTTATCATTCAGGAATGGAAGGGAGCAAATGTAAAGAGACAAGGCTTAGACACATGTGTGTACCCACCATCAATCATAAAGCACACAGCTGCGCTCATCGCCTAGGATGAAAAGAAACCAAGATTAGGAAATGGTACAAAAAGAGAGGACTAAAATAACCAAATGCAGTGGCCTTATTTGAATCTTTTTTTAAACATATCAACTTTATAAAGACTTTCTTAAGTCAACTGAAGAACTCCAGATGGGGCTGGATATTAGATGATATTAAGGAAGTATTATTTATTTTGGTCAGGCATGATAATAGCAGGTGCTGATGTTAAAACAGATGCCCTTAGTAGTAGTTAGAGATACAAAATGAACTATTTATGAGGGGAATGACAGGATGATTTAAAATGCTCTAACAAAAAAACAAAATGTGTAGAGATGAGAGATATTATTAGCATATTATTAATTAAGCTCTGTGATACGTACCTGGGTATTCATTATTCTAATCTACTTGTGTGTGTTTGATAATCTTCATTAATACAAGTCAAAAAAAACCCCCCAGCAAGTTAATGTCACCTGTCTTGCTTTTTTATTATAGCAAATACTGCAGTTATGATAGGAGTAAGTAATGGGAACTTACGGCAAGCCAGATCATAAATAAAACAGCCAAAAAAATGTTTAAATTTATCAAAGCCGTGTAATAGTGTTTAAAAAAAAAGAAAGGTCAAAACAGAACATGTAGGCCTGAGACTTCCCTAGCGGTCCTATGGTTATGAATCTGCCTTCCAATGAAGGGGACAGGTTCAATCCCTGGTCAGGGGACTAGGATTCCACGTGCCTGGGGGCAACTGAGCCCACATGCTCTAGAGTCCGTGCTCTGCAACCAGAGAAGCCTGCGTGCCACAACAAGAACTCAAGGCAGCCAAACATACAGGTTTGTGATGAAAGTGCAAAAGACTTCTCCTCTGAGGCCTGCTCCCCCAGCAACCACTGGGATCCTTCTAGATGATGTGGCTACAGCACCATCACCTCTGGCTGTCGTGACAGGTGCGGCTCCTCTGCGCTATCCCCCCCCCCACCGGTTCCCAGCCGCTCTAGTTCCTCCGTTGGGTGCAGCTCACGCCTCACGCCCGCAGTCACAGCCACTCTTTATGAGGACGTGAACCTCCCTGTGTCCCTGCACCCCTCCCCACCTCTCCTCCTCAGACTCCTTCAGCTTTAACTTCATGTTTACGTGGTCAAAGCTAACGACATTTATGCTATTCTGTAACTGAATGGTAATTATCATTTGCCCATAAAGAGGCTGCAAATTGGGTGGCTTATAGGCCAGTTCCACCCAATATAGGTCTTTTTGTTTCAAATCATTTTGGCTTAGATGCCAACTCGTTTGCTACCAAAATCCCAATTTCCAGCCTCCCCGAGGCATCTAGAGACCTGGATCACTGCTCTTCACTCTGGCCACCCCCTGGTCTCCTTGGGACGTGGGCCACTCTGTGACACAGAGTCCCAAACCCCGATCGAGCTTGCCTCCCTTGTGTCTGCCATCGGACATTTGTGTACCTGACCCTAGGGATTTATTTAAAGAAAAGAAAAGAAAACAAAACAAAACAAATGGCCCTTTTAAAGTCTATTTAAAAAGTTGAAGGATTTCAAATACATTAAAAATGTACATAGAAAGGTACACACACACCCCAAGGACCATCACTTTCTCAACAACCGTCAACTCATGGATAATCCTGCCTGATTAACCACCCTGATCTACAATATTAATAATCTCTCTCCCCAGGGAAACATCGTAATTGGAGAAAAATATAAAAAACAGTCAAATCTCCAGAGGGAAATTTTCCTAAGGGCAGAGAGCCGATGGAGGAACGGTTATAAAAGACAATCTACTACAACTTAGTATTTTAGTCTTTTATTACAGCTGTGAACACATATATTAAAAAAGAAGCAAGACCTCAAATCAGTAAGAACCTTCCATCTTAAGACCTTGGAAAAAAAGAGGTGCAAACTAACCACAAAGCAAGCAGAAGGAAGGATATGATGACTGGAGCGGAAATAAACTGGAACAGAGAACAGAAAAGCCAGAGGAAAAAAATGAAACCAAAAGATGATCCTCTGAAAAGATCAACAAAACTGAAAAACCTTTAGACGGCCCATCTAGACCAAGGAGAGAAAAGATGCCCGTGACTAGAAGGAATGAGACGGGAGGCTGCACTACTGACTTTAAAAGACAACAGTACAAGCCTATGTAATATTATGAAGAAACTGGACACCAGCAACTTGAACAACCTAAAATAGACAAATTCCTAAAAAGATACAACTACTAAAACTGACTCAGAGGAAAAGAAAAGCAGAAAAGACCTATAATAAGTAAAAAGACTAATTAATAATTTAAACACTCCCCAAAGACAAGTTCAGATGTAGGTGGTTTTAGTGTGATCAAACATTTGAAGAATTCACACCTGTCCTTCAGAAAGTCTTCAAAAACAGGGTATCACCCTTATACCAAAACCAGACAAAGAGAAGACATCAAAACGAAAGAGAACAGGCCAGCAACCCTCATGGCCCTGAGCTCACACAGGTCAGCTGGGCCTCTGGGCAGTCTCTGGGAGGTCAGCTATAGGTAGTCGGCCACAAGGGTGGTCAGTGGGGCCTGCATCCAGTCTCTGGATGTCAAGGCTTGGGTGAGTCTCCCTGGAAGGCAGCATGCCCTACACTGTCACCTGTCACTGCTGGGAGAAACAGGCGCTGTGCCATCTGCACGACTGTCCACAGAGGCCAGCTGGAAGCCTGCGCCTGGTCACGAAGATCGAAGACCCTGTGTGCCACAACTAAGACCCGACGTAGCCAAATAAAAAAAAACCCAACCTAACATAAACATGGGGCTTCCCTGGTGGCTCAGTGGTAAAGAATCCGCCTGCAGTGCAGGAGACACAGATTCAATCCCCGGATCAGGAAGATCCCCTGGAGAAGGAAATGGCAACCCGCTCCAGTATTCTTGCCTGGGAAACCCCATGGACAGAGGAACCTGGCAGGCTACATTCCATTGGGTTGCCAAGAGTCAGAAACAACTTAGCGACCACACAACATAAACTTACATCCTGACAAGACAGTATCCTGACGGAAACTCAAGACTATCCTCGTGGAATTAGCAAGCCCACAACTTTAAAATCAGAGTGAGGCAGAATCCACTGAAGGGTGGGCATGCACCAAACAACAGGTGACAGTGGCCTTGATGGCCTGACTTGTCCACCTGCAGGACTTGTGAGTCGTGGCCTCGGACAGTGACCCTCTCCCAAGTCACAGGCTGTTCCCTGGGGACTGAAAATAAACCTCTTACTCCAGAAAGCACCCATTTCCAGTTTTACAATGATCAGAACTTTCGAGGACACCGTTCCAAGGATCACGTGAGAGGCCTGCACATCGACTGCTGTCCCTGGTGGAAGCTGTGCCGGAAAGATCTACTTTAGCATCGACCTGTAACCCTGGAGTGAGAGATGACTGTTACCTTATAAACAATTAAGTGCAGCGCTTCGTAAGTGTCGTCTGTATTTACAAAAATTTTGGGGAATCTGCATTTTGCTTCTGGATCATTAAGGTTCAAGGGGCCAGTGAGAAATCTGAAAAGCAAGCACACAGATGAGTTGATTCAATCAGGCAGATATAAGCAGGAATATATAAACAGTGCATTCTTATAAAGGGTGGTAATACACACCCCCCCTTTTTTGGGAAGCTAGACACTACTTAGAACACATCAGGAAATAAAAAAAGAATAGTTTTAATTCATTGCAACCAAAAGGATTTCCTTTGCTGATTATTGTCAGCAAAGCAGCACAAAGGCAATTCAGTGTTTGTGATTTTTTTCTTTACCAGAAAAGATAATAAAATCGAGTACTGTCTATCAGAGGGCGGAAGTCCTACCTTCCATAGTGTTGGAGGTTTCCTGGCATTTCTGCCCTTATTGGAGAATCCCTTCCCGCCAACTGTAAACAGATTTAATATTGACAAGTGACTTCTTAGATTTTCTATATTCGAGGCTTTGAGAAACAGCATTCATATCTACTGGTTGACTCCATGCCACGTATCTGTATCAATTTCCCATATTCATCCCCACCAAAAGAAAAAAGGGGGGGGAGATTACAGAGGTACAGAAAGAACTCACTGGTTTTAACCAGAATTTCACTGTACCCTAAGTTCCACATACAGACTTGACAGCAATAACCTAAGGCTGACGAGTGCTAGGCAATGATGTCAATTACTTAATTTCATCTTGTTTCACCCCTGTGGGGAATGCCCTCTCCCAATTTTCCAGAAGCAGAAACTGAAGTTTGAAGAAGTTCACCAATGTGCCCAGTTCCTGAGTGGCAGGGCCGGGTAGCAAACCCAAGCCTGTCTGGCCTCAAAGTCCCTGCCTTTGGTCATGACGCTATGCCTCCTTGTAGGTTTTTATTAATATCACATTCCTGGTTTCTTCTGCTGAAGATACACTATTTCAATATGTGTAGGAAATGAAAAAAAAATCCAAATCTAACAGTCATGATAGCTAAAGTTAACTCTTCTAAAACTTTTTGATGTTCTATGTAAGAACATGTAAGCCTATGTAAGGTTTTAGTATACAACTTGAAAGACCAAAAAACACTGTCAAATTTGAAAGTGAGAACACACAGCTAACTCTCACAGATGCAGCCTGCACCGAGCAACAAGTCCTTCCGTGTCCATGTTCCCGCTGCCCCACTGTATGCTTCTGGTTTAGACGTCTGGCTCTTCAGATGTTTAATAAAGTAGCAAGAGAGTTTTCAGCCGTTTCAACAGCACCATCCCTCCATGGGAAAGTCTCCTGGAGGGTCCTTCTGAGGGTGTGGTTGAAAGCAGGTGTTTTAGCGTCAAGTGGACCCAGAGACCAAGTCCTAGCTCTGTCGCTTACTAGCTGGGGGGCACTGGGTGAGTCACGGGAGCCCCTCACGCCGTCTCCTTTCTGTAAGATGGAGGTGAGGTCCCCAGCTCTCAGGATGTCACGAGATAATGCAAGTTCTCTGGGTGCGCGTCTGTCTCTGGTGTATGGCACATACTCCAGCAACGTGAGAAGGGAAGTCAGGGCAGGACTGGGGCCTTCTCAAAAACCTTGAGATTTCTCATCTAAAAGATATTTTCCTGTTATTTCAAGTCATGGTCTCAGAAAACAGAGCAAGGGAGAGTGCGTGTGTGCGCGCGTGCACGCACACGTGCACCCTTGGGTCAAAATGATAATTTCGTGACTCATGAATACTTTACCTAATTAAAGCTAAAAACAGATGCTTTGGGGAAAGCACTGTGGTATTATTTACAGTTCTCTGTAGAAAAGTGGAAGAGTCGGTGCCAGAGTGGAAAAGCCAGGCAGGCAGCATAGAATCCACTTAGGACTAGATCTCCTGTTTGTCGGTGCAAAGACCACTGTTTTGTCCAAGATCGCGGGCATTCTGAGAGCTCCCAGAACCCAATGTAAAGATCCAATTTTCCTTCCTACACCTCGGCAACTGCAACTGAACAAAAGGAAGAAAAGCTGACATACGTGGTTCTCCGTGCTTAAGTGACACAAGAGGTTTCTACATCTGCGGATTCCACGTTAGCGGATTCCACCAACTGCAGGTTGAAAATAGTCAGGGAGGAGACGCTTGAAAGTTTCCAACAGCAAAACTTGAATTTGCCACAGGCCACACCTACTTATGTAATGTTTACATTGTATCAGGGTTTTTCTTATTTTTTTGTATCAAGTATTATAAAAAATCCAGAGCCCATTCAAAGTATAGGGGAGGATGTGCACGTGAGCAGCTTACATGCAAACACTAAGTCATTTTTTTTTTAAAGCCATTTTATACAAGGAACTTGAGCACATGTGGGTGTGGGTATCAGCAGGGGTCCTGGGAGCACTTCCCCGTAGATACCGACAGACAACTCCATCACTGAAATCACATTATTAGTGTAAAATATGGACTGGAACTGCCCCCCCACCATGTTCCTCCACTCCCCAAATCTGTGTATGTGTGTGTATGTGTGTCTACATTATCTATTTATCCATCTGTCTCTCTAGAGATTAGTATCCCATCATACCTCAGGTTCGATATGCCTTGGAAACAGAGATGTGGTGAGGTATTTGTATAAAATTCTCATGTCGTCTTGTTCTAATCCACTCCTGCAACATCAGAAAAGTACTGTGTTAAAAGCCTGGAATTGGTCTTCCATATTCCCATTGTTTTGTGATTAAAAACCATCTCTCACTCTTTACGTGGGATTATCTGGGGAGCATCAGCAGCTGATAGCCACTCTGCTCCAGGTACCAGATTTCTGGGTTACATGGTCACGCTTTCACCCACCATCCTGCATACACTGTATGCTGTGGGCAGGGAACTTGGTCCTGTTATGTCTCAGAAATGTATGTGGGTTTTAATTCTCTCAATTTCTGTAGGCAAAAAGCAGGCAGAGAAAGAAACAAACTTTCGGGGAAACCATCCACTCTGAAAGGAGACAAGAATAAGTGGCAGGTGGAATAGTGCAGAGAAACCAGTAGGAGTCCTTGGGCTTGATCCAAAATCAGTTTTTCAGGTAAGGATGTAAACAGTGATTCTGTATCTGGGTTGTTTTTTTTTTTTTCCTATTAAATTGAAATCTCCACTTGACAGAAACCAAGCCTCTGCGTGACACCCCCGAGGCTCTCGAGGCCCTCTCTTCTTTCCCAGGTAAGTCGTAGGTTATGTTAGAAGACTGTCCTGGGTCACCGAGCACAAACTATGTGCCTGAAACACAAACCCAAAAACGGAATGAATCTGAGCGGGAGGGCCTTCAGCTGGCCCCGCGCCCAGGAACCTCAGGGGCTCATCCAGGGCAGACCTCTCTCTGCCCAGGCAAACAGCTGGCCCCCCACGTGGCTGGGGCCCCACCCCAGGGCTCCTGCACATTCACACAGCTCTTCCCGGGTTTAGTCTTCCGTCATTGAGAACATTTAATAACAGTTTATCTTTGCTTCTTGAGTAGCAACACTTTCATCAAAGAAATTATGTTTTTGTCCCTATGAGACAAGACGCAAATAAACCTTGAAGACAGCGGGTTAATTTCCTGGTTTATAGCACTTTTAACTTCTTGGATGTTTTTTAATACTAGCTTCTTTAAAAGAAACTATGAAAATCACATTTACTATGCTGGTTCTTTGAAGATGTTTTTGGAAAAATACCAAAATAAAAATAGGATTCTTAAACCTAACATTTTCTCCATCTTTCATGGAACCAGTTTTAAACTTCCCTGCTTGGTAATTTTAAACAAAATTACCCTAATTTTGGTTTAAACAATCACTGCCTTATTTTGACAATATCTAAAAAGATGCTTCCATCCCCACCCTACCCCCACCCCTGGCTGTTATTTCCAGTTTGACAACCTATCAATCCAATCACTGCTATTTTTATGATCCTAAAAGAGGGAGTACCTACCAGATGAGTTGATCATTATAGAGAAAGGCAGTGTACTTGACTATACTCAGGCTTTCTTCCACTCTGTTAATAAAGGACTGGATTTTCAAATAAGTCATTTTATCCAATGGGAAGAAGCTGATCCCACCAAATATATCGAGTAGATCACAGGACTGCAAATGTAACGTTTGCAAATACTGCAGGAAAAAAATAAGGCATAAAACTTACTAATAGCACATAGAAGCTAGTACTCTGGCAACTGAAAATAAAAGGTCTTACTTTGTGGTACAATTACATGCTAGCAAACAGCACACTTACAAGACCAACATGGAGGTGAACCACAGGGAACTGGATACGGAATCAGTACCAATTTCAAAAAATTAAGTTCAAGTGTAATTAGTGTTCTTTCAGCTTTGTGTTTTCTCTCTGTGAGGTGTTTAATTCCTTATTAGTGCTATTCAGATTAGACTGACCTCTGCACATGGTATTATGGACCATTTTATACTAAAATCACACTGGAAGGGCATGCAGTCAGTGATGATGGAAAGGGGAGGAATAAAGATGAGAACAGGAACCAGGGGACAGTCAGAGTCAATAATTATGGTCATTAAAGTGAAGAAACAAATAAGAAAAGTAATTCATAAAAACAAAATAATTCACAAACAGACATTAAAGTAGTACAGGGAGAAAGATCAATTGAGACTCATTCCTCTAAGATAAACTGAATCTGACCAGGGATACTTCCCTGGTGGCTCAGCTAGTAAAGAATCTGCCTGCAGTGCAGGAGACTGGGGTTCAATCCCTGGGTTGGGAAGATCCCTGGAGAAGGGAATGGCTACCCACTCCAGTATTCTTGCCTGGAGAATTCCATGGACAAAGGAACCTGGTGGGCTACAGTCCATGCGGTTGCAGAGTTGGACATGACTGAGTGACTAACACTTTCACTTTTTTCAGGGTAAAATATGCAAAACTGACACTGAAGGAGGAGGAGAACAATGCAGGGGGAAAAGATCACACTCATGACCACTAAGGGAAAAAAATCTGTGCCATAGTCGCAAACTTCACCGTAAGTCAGTACAGATGACACCTGATCCAATGAAAACAACTGATCCACGAAAATGTGTGATTTTGCTAATTAACCAATCCACCGCAAGGAAGTTTGCTTTGCTTTGGAGTAAGCCCACACTGATAGACGCAGGTGGGTCAAGGATGAAGCCAGAAGAGATCTCCAAGGTGCTTTAAGGAGCTGTGCACAATGGGCAGGAAGCTCTGATTCAAGAGTGCAAACCTAGGGACTTCCCTCGCGGTCCTGAGTTTAACTCTGGGGCTCCAATGCAGGGGGCGTGGGTCTGATCCCTGGTCGGGTATCTAAGGTCCCGTTTGCCATGTGGCAAAATAAATAAATAAAAAATAAAATAAAGGTTAAAGCTGGAAAAAAAAAAAATCCAAATCCAAATCTAACCTGTTTCCTCACTGGTCTGATTCTGTCCCACTATGCCTGAGTCTCCACGCCAACTCCAATTTCTAGGTTTGTTTGTATGTGAGAAGCAAACTTGTCTGTATTTCTCTAACAGTCAGTTTGATAACTACCAAGATTACAAAGAAAATTCCAAATACTTACTCGATGGAAGAATTTCTCTAATCTTTCTTTTAGGAGCTTGACACCTCCATCTTCCATGGCTCTCAGAAATGTACCATTAAAAAGCTAATGGTGTAAAAGATTAAGAAAAAAATTTTTTGTTCTTCAATTTCCCAATATAACAAGTTCTTCTTTTTCTTTTACATTAATTCTGCTTATTTCATCCCGCAATTCTTTTTGAACATAGAAAATATTTACATTAGAACGTCTGAGTTATAAGTTATGGAATATCAAAACACTGTTAAGGGATACTGCAATTTTGTAAAATCACCCAACTGTTCTGGGCATTTTTAAAAAATGTGAACTCACATCTAAGTTTCACTTTATATAAATAATATTGCTAGACTTCTTAAATTATACAAATCTCTGCGCTATCTGCTTTCCTTAAGAACATGGATTCTATCATTCACTGATGCAGATACACTCGTAGGACAAGTCGGGGAAGAGAAAAGGGCTCTGTATTGCATGAATCGGTGCAGGCATAAACCTCAATACTGCTTCACAGGCCCCATTATTTCCTCCCCATAACAAACACAGTCACCTTACAGTCATGTAAAGAATTAAGAATTATTTTAAATGACTAAAATAAACTGGGGTAACTGGCTGGACTCTCAACCTAGAAAACATGTCGTGTTTACCTTGTACATGCTGTAGCACTGCTGGAGCACTGAACTATAAACCTTGTCCTGCAAACAGCACAGAAACACAGCACAGAGCTCATTCGAGGGAACACAAAAAAATAATCAATTGCACAGTAAAGGTATCGTGACTCTTGGTAAAGCAATATAATGTGCATACACATGGCCCTATAATAGTTGTGTGCTGAAACTACCAACTTAAACAGCATATTAAAAAGCAGAGACATTCCTCTGCCGACAAAGGTCCGTCTAGTCAAAGCTACGGTTTTTCCAGTAGTCACGTGAGGATGTGAGAGTTAAACCACAAAGAAAGCTGAGAGCCGAAGAATTGGTACTTCTGAACTGTGGTGTTGGAGGAGACTCTTGAGAGTCCCTTGGACTGCAAGGAGATCCAACCAGTCCATCCTAAAGGAAATCAGTCCTGTATATTCATTGGAAGGACTGATGCTGAAGCTGAAATTCCAATACTTTGGGCACCTGATGTGAAGAACTGACTCATTGGAAAAGAGCCTGATGCTGGGAAAGATTGAGGGCAGGAGGAGAAGGGGGTGACAGAGGATGAGATGGTTGGATAGCCATCACTGACTTGATGGACATGAGTCTGAGCGAGTGCTGGGAGTTGGTGATGGACAGGGAGGCCTGGCGTGCTGCGGTCCCTGCATGGGGTCGCAGAGTCAGACACGCCTGAGCGAGTGAACTGAACTGCAGCCTAGTTCGGCAAGTCTCTCCAGTAATTCTTGGCTGGAAAATCCCATGGACAGAGGAGCCTGGCAGGCTATAGCCCATGGAGTTGCAAAGAGCTGGACACGACTGAGCAAACAAGTCTAATTTTTAGGAGGGCTTTAAACACAGATGAATAGAGGAAGGCGGGGTAAGAGACGGCACATATACATTTTTATAAGATTGTGCTAATGGAAACAACAAGCACAATATTCCCCTGAGCTAACCTTGAGAAACTTCTGCAAAAGTGACATAAGTTAAATCTTATGAACAAGTCAGCCACTCAAGATATTGACAATTCTTTTCCTAAAAATATGAAATAAAAAATGACCCATTACCAGCAACTCCTCCTCTTGGTATTCAACAACTGGTTTTCCATCTTTACTTTGCTTTTCAATGATAGGATTCCGAACAACCTACAAAGTTTGATACACTGAAATTACATAAGGAATCAATTATATGTGTTTTTAAATTTTCCCCTAACTTAAATAAACTTGAACACATCCCAACACCAAAACTTCTTAAAGGAGCCCCTAATAACAAATACACCAAATAGGAGTTTGATTTTTAAATTGCTACTGACTGTACTATAACTCTCCTCTGATGCAATGACCTGAATTGAATGACTTCCCTGAATTCCTAACGGTAAAGATCACCCATAACTGTATAATACAAATTCAGAAAAGTGTACTGTATATGTAAATACCATGACCATCCAGAAATTTTCTTCTGGTTCATTGAAGAACTGTCTGTTCTTCTGTGTATGTAAAGATTTTGCAGGTTTTGATGGACTAAAGGTCCTAAAAAGGGTAAAAGAATATGTTAGCAACAATCCCTCACTGGAAGTTTTAAGAATTCACTGAGCTCTGCAAAAGCACATTGAAAGGCATTACCTTGTAAACTGTACAATAGCTTCACATAATCCAACGTTTCTAATTTTTTCATTCTTTTCTACTTCATTTGGATAATAAAACAAAATTTTATTTTCCTCCTAAAGTATGAAGAGAGAGAATCACAACATTGACATAAGCATTTTTTCTGTCTTAGCTGTCGACAATACTTAGTGTCAACCTCTCATGTCATATGCGGCTAGCTGGCAAGACAAAACAAAGGCCCCTTTTAGAAAAACAAAGATTATCTTCTCTTCACGGGGTAACAGATGCCCACCTGCATGGAAGGTAATTGTGATATTTGGTAAGTCATATGCCATCTGAACTAACATTAGACAACGATGCTGAAAACTCCCATCTTTGGATTTCTTTCTCCATGCTAATTTGTAATACATCAACGCTTGTAAGAAATCAGTGTGTGTGCACATGCACAGACACACACCTCCCCACAAATTAAACCCAGCAGGTTCACAAGCATTTGGACTGGCGGCCTTTAAAAGGACCGTGATTTCCTGCCAACAAAACTTGGCGCCGGACATCCTTTGAGGAAGCTACCGTCCCCACCTTAAAAAAGTAAAGATAAAAAAATCAAAACAAACAAACAAAAAAATCAAAACAAAACCATCCGCTCCCATCCGACTTAACTTATTAATTCGGAAAAAAAACTTTCCGAAGATCCGCCAAGCCTGCATTACAGGACTATCGCCTCCCACTCTTGTTCTACGCTTCTAGGCGGGGGACTTCCAGCAACAAAGACAAAAGCTCAACTTTAATCATCCAGGGTTGATGTCAAGAGAAGAGAGACTCCCACCTGTGTGATTAACCCGACGAACCTTCACTCAATACACAGGCACTGATCTGGGATCTGCAACCAGACCCTGCCCGCGTTGTCTGGGCCCCGCCGCACACCCCCCAGCACAAAACAGTCCGATAAAGGCCAATCGATGAGGGAGACTGACGAGCGACGACCCCAGGCGCGCCCCGCGGCTGCCCGGGCCTGGCCCCATCCGGCAGCCCCCCTACTCCGGGCCCTCTGCCGTCCACGGACGCCCGCGCGCGGCCCCCCTCCACTTACCTCTCCTTCGCGCGGCCCGAAGCGCGGGTTGTAGATGAAGAAGCTCAGCAGCGCCGGCGGGAACTGCTTCTCTTGGGCCGCTCCTGCTCCGGCCCCGGCCGCCGCTGCCGCCATCCCGGCCCGGCCCCCCAGCCTCGGGAGCCTCCCTCGGCCCGCCCAGAGACAGCTGCGGCCGGAAGACCGCACTTCCGCCTCGCTCACCGTCGCCCCGGAAGTGGTTGCCGCCGGCCCGGAAGAAGAATCCCCAGCCCAGCGTCTACTTCTGGCGCACCCGTATGGGTTCGTTCCTGTTTGTGTTCTGGGTAGGTGTTTCTTCTGTTGATACTGTAAGAGTTAAGGTGAAGTGAAACCGTTTTTGTCTTTTTTTTTTATCCTCAAATTTCTGCCTGGCTGAAGGCGAGGGTTGCGTGTTTCAAGAAAAATGAAATGGGCCTTGTTTTGTGTGAAAGGGATTGTGAAGGTGCAACGGAAGGCCCAACGTTTGGGGTGATAGTGTATTCAGTCAGGTAGCTTGCCCGTTTTCATCGTCCACAGGGTCCCACCACATATTTGTTGGTCTTTTTAGATCCCCGTTTGAGTGACGTCAGGTGACTTTGTGCCTCTTGCGACTTCTCTGCCTTCAGGGAGAAAGGTAGCTGCAGGTGGCGAGCATGATGTGTGGCGAAATGGGACCAGAGCGTGGGCTTCTCCCCACAGTGCCCGGTCCCAGGCCTTGGAACTCAGGGCATCGCCCTTGCCAGCCCTTGGGATTCACTAGGTTTGGAGGCCTGTGGGTTGTGGGAGCTGGAACCGCTCGTTACTTCTGATACTTAGAGTTCAAGCTCTTGCAGCAGACCGCACGGCCAAACTCGAGACTAGGTTGTCTTGTTTCTCACAGATTAGATGTGAGAATAGGACCTCTTATCCAACTTAATAGAATAGACCTTCCTGTTTAGGGAGGCGGTGTTGGGATTTGGGCATGACTGAACTGGGTACTCACTCTAGCTCTGTCACTCACTGGGCGGGAGTTCTTGGCCCATTGTGTAAGGTCTCCAGTCTCTGCCTAATATGTAAAATAACTAATAGTAAATGCTTTTCTAGTAGGAATTTCACTTTAAGAATAAAATGAGTGGGAATTTCCTGGTGGTCCAGTGGTTAGGACTTGGTGTTTTCACTGCCTGGCCCCAGGTTCAATCCCTGTTCAGGGAATTAATATCCTGCAATCTGTGCAGCAAAAAAAAAAAAAAAAAAAGGAGTTAAATGGGACTGTGATTGTGTGTATAGTAGTCCCAGCCCGTAATTGTTTTTCAACAAGATTGCTGTCATTACTTGCTCTTGAAAGACTCCCTCAACTAGCTTGGTTTAGTGTAAGACAGTCTTTTGTTAGAAAGACATGTTTTGAAATTACAGTAATAATTTTCAAAGAATTTTAAGGTAGCAAAATCTTCTTTCCCCCTTTTATTGCCCAAAAGTCCATGGGAACTTCTAAAAAATAGATACAGAGCTACCCTGGTTGAATGTGAAGCTGAGTGGTAGAAATGAGACCTAAGAAAACCTGCTGGCCTTTTCCAAGAGCTGCCCCTCTTCCATCTCTTATCTCCTTGAGGGACCCTAAAGCACTATACAGGACCCTGGGGCTCCAGGGAGCATAATTTGAAAACTCCAGGTTAAAGAATTCCTTCCTTTGTCTCAGAGCAAATGCTTTTGGAAGAGTGGTAGAAAGAGCCTGGGGCTTAGGTTGGAAGAGCCGAATTTTAGTTCTGATTTTGTCACTTGCCTTTTATATGATCTTTGATTAATCACTTAACTTCTTTGAGCTCAGTTTCTTCCTTTGAAAAAATGAGATTAATACCTACCTCAAAGGAGAACTGCAAATATTACATTAGATGACACAAATGAAAGTACTTTGTAACGTGCAAAGTACAATTGCAATAAAAATGTGGTGAGATAACATTTTATTGCATTTTCCCCAGCGTGCCTTTACTTCCTTGTTTACTTTGCGCCCCATTCAGTCAGTTGCATTGATCGCCAGGGAGAGATGATACAAAAACAAAAATCAAACAAAATCAGAAATCAAAATGCTTTTTAAGTTTCAAAAGCTAAGGAAGCAAGAAAGCTTAGATAGTGATGCATCTTCCTTTTTTACAGTCTTAGGGTGTGCATGGATGGGAGGTGGGTGGAGTAATGATGATAGACACTTTTGAGGTCTCAGAGGAGAGAGGGTGTAGATGTATACCTTGTTCCTTGTGGAATGGGGAAAGTGGCTGGTCTTGCAGAGTGCCCCTGTGTGTCAAGTGCGATGCATCAACAGTAGAATATCTGTGGCCACATGAGTGTCTAGGCATCTAGGCAGTAAGTGCTACTTGATGCAGGAAGCAACTAAAAGTTTTACTTGTACACAGAAGTAATTCAGAGAAAGCCAGACCTGAGAGGCCATAAGATTAGAACAAAGAGAAACTAGCTGTGGCCTAGGTGGACCCACCACTGAAGTCCAGAGGACTGGAGAGGAATGAGGTTGACTCAGTGGTCACTTGTATGGACTAAGCACCAGATACTCCTTTCCCATGCAGGGCCTTGCATTACCCACCTCTTCTGTCAGCTTGAGAAATAAGGGTGAAGAGGAGGCTGAATTCTTGACACTGTCCTGAATTATGATTCTGTCTCCCAGCAGGACGGGGATTCGAATCTATGTCCAGTAACAGAAATAGAAAATTAGATCCAAATCATTAAAAAAAAAAGGATAATTAGATCTTTTGCACAAAGAATTTGTGAACTCAGAAGCAGGGGACCAAGATGGAGATGTAGGAGGCTTCTGATCTTCCCTCCTTCCCCAAATGCAGTGAATGTACAGCTACAGACAGAGCAATTTCATCTGAGAGAAATCCAGAGACCAACTAAATGTGAGGTGAGACTCCTGTATGTGAGGTGAATGAGAAAATACCCACAGCAAAATGGATAGGAAAGTCTGAGCCTCACCCTCTGCACAGCACCATACAACTGGGAGGGAATCTCCACCAGGGCTTCCCTGGTGACTCAGATGGTAAAAAAAAACCTGTCTGCAATACAGGAGACCTAGGTTCAATCCCTAGGTTGGGAAGAACCCCTGAAGAAGGGAATGGCAACCCTCTCCAGTATTCTTGCCTGGAGAATTCCATGGGTAGAGGAACCTGACTGGCTACAGTCCCTGGGGTCACAGAGATTTGTCCAGGACTGAGTGACTAACACCCCCCGCCCAAGGAATGGGCCCCCACGTTACTTGGCTTTGATAGTCAACAGGGTTACTCACAAGTTCCACAGCACATAGTCAAAAAAAGTTTTTAAATAGGTTCGAGAGCACCCCTAGTGGGTGTATACCTGGACTCAGTGCCAAGGGAGTAGGCTGCTCTGATTGTATGAATTTCACTGTCCTGTATCCTGAGAGAATATCGTTAAGGCAACATTGGACTTAAACTGCATGTTAGATGAGATGAGCCGAAAAGACATACAGAGAACATTCTATTCAACAGCAATAGAATGCTCATTCTGCTAAAACACACATAAAACATTTTCCAGGATAGATCATATATTGTACCATACCACAAAATAAGTTTTAATAAACTAAGATTGAAATCATATCAAGCATCTTTTCCACTGACAAATGATATGAAACTAGTTACATATGATGTGAAATCAGTTACAAGAAGAAAATTGGAAAATTCACAAATACGTGGAGATGAAACAGTATGCTTTTGAAGGACAAATATGTCAAAGAAGAAATCAAAAGGGAAATAAAAAATCTTGAGACAAATGACAATGGGAACATACTGTACCAAAACTTAATTGGATGCAGCAAAAGCAGTTCAAGAGGAAGTTTATAGCAATAAATGCCTACAATCAGAACAAAGATTTAGAATAGACAACCTAACTTTAAATCTGAAGGAACTAAAAGAAAGCAAACTAATCTCAAATTTAATAGAGGGAAGGAAATAACAAAGGTCATACTGAAAATAAGTGAGATAAATACTAAAAAGACAATAGAAAATATCAGTGAAACTAAGAGCTGGTTTTTTTGAAAAGATGATTAAGATTGTCAAACTGTTAGCTAAACTAAGGAAAAGAAAGAGGACTCAAAGTCAGAAATGAAAGAGAAGACATTACAACTGATAATACAGAGATACTAAGGGTCACAGGAAACTACTATGAACTATTTACATCAGCAAGTTATACAACTGAGAAGAAATGGATAAGTCACTGGGAATACACAGCCTACCAAGACTGAATCATGAAGAAATAGAGAATCTGAACAGACTAATTACTCATTTGGAGATTGAATTAATAATCAAAACCTCCCAACCACAAAAGCTTAGAACCAGATGGCTTCACTGGTAAATTTTACCAAAATTTAACGAATTAATACAAATCCTTTCCAACTCTTTCAAAAAATAGAAGTGAGGGGGACACTTCTAAAATTTTACAAATCCAGCATTATCCTGACCGAAAAAGATACTACAAGAGAAGAAAATGATAGCCAATATCCCTGCTGGACATATATGGAAAAAAAAAAAAACCTCAACAAAATATTTGCAAACTGAATTCAACAATACGTTAAAATGATCTTATACCATGATTGGAATTTATTCCAGGAATGCAAGAATGGTTCAGCATCCACAAAGTCAATGTGACATACCACATTAGTACAATGAAGGATAAAAGCCATATAATCATTGGAGTAGATGGAGAAAAGGCATTTGACAAAATTCAACATTCTTTTATGACTAAAAACTCCCAACAAATGGGATATAGAAGGAATGTACCTCAACATAATGAAGGCTATAAATGATAAAACCACAGCTCACGTCGTGTTCTACAATGAAATGCTTAAAGCTTTTCTTTTAAGATCAGGAACAAGACAAGGATGCCCACTCAAATCACTTTCATTGAACATAGTTGTGGAAGTCCTAGCCTGAGCAAATAGGCAACAAAAAGAAATATAAATGTATCCAAGTCATAAAGGAAGCAATAAAGTTGTTTCTGCAGATGACATGATATTATATGTAGAAAACCCTAAAGATTCCACCAAAAACCTGTTAGAATAAACAAATTCAGTGAATTTGCAGGATATATAATATCAATACACAAAAATAAGTTGTGTTTCT